TTTTTTTTTTTTTTTTTTTTTTTTTTTTTTTTTTTTTTTTTTTTCTTCTTTCCTGGGATTTCAACATCGACCTCCTTTTTCATGCTGCATTGTTTTCTCGCGTGGTGAATCGTTACCGAATAATTGTCGATCAGTTGGACTGATCTCGCTTTGTGAAATCCTCGCGATTCCGCGATTTTTCTGGTTTTTAAGGGCTTCCACTGTTCGTGGGGTGAAATTAGTTTCCGGGGCATTGAATTTTTGGAGTTTTTTTTATATTCTTGAGATCAGATGAACTACATACATTTGCTGGGTAGGGGGGGGAGGGGAATTCAGCTTCAGCAATTAATAACAAAATTACCATCTCCCATCGTTGCTAAATAGTATCAGCATCACGTGAAAAAAGCACGTAAAGGTGACGGCCAATCTTCACCAGTGGTATTGCATTCGTACACGTAACACGCGTGGGATGCAAAGAATCGATCTAGGGGGTGGCGAGGGTGCTGTTAGACATTCAAACAAAAGTAGAGAAAAATAGAAAATTTATTCGTTCTCTCATTTCATCCTCTACCATCTTCCGGGTTATATAAAAACGATGTATGTTTCACGGATGTCAATATAGGGGGAGTGTTGCCAGCGCTTTCATGTATTTTAGATGTAAGGATACATTTTTTAAGCGAAATGAGGGAGGCAAATCATTTTAATAACAAATTCACAAGGAATTATAAATTCTGTTCTTTATGCACCCCACTGGATTATACACAGATGGGTAAAAGATTGAGAAGTCGCAATTTATGACATGTGATGGATAAGGAATTTTTCTCACAAAAAAAAAAGATCCATTTTGATCCACTAGTTTTCGAGATATTTTAGAGAAACGCTACAATGACAGCTGGCGCATCTGCCAGTAGATTTTATCCATCAGGTATAACCGGGTAGATTAGGTAGATTACGTCTTTCTCGTGGATCATGTCTACCTGATAGATTAAATCTATCAGGCAAATTGAACGTGCCGGGTAATTTAATCTACCCGGCAGATTTAATGTGCATGGTAGATTTAATGTACCCGACAGATTTAATATACCTGGTAGATTTAATCTGTCAGATAGGCTAATCTGACCGGTAGATTTAATCTACCCGGGAGATTTAATTTGTCAGGTGGATTAATCTGTCCGGTAGATTTAATCTATGCAGTAGATTTGCTCTGTTCTGTAAATTAAATGTACCCTACGGATTAAATCTATCCTGTGGGTTAAATCTGCCAGATGCAACAGGCAAGATCTGAGGGATTAAGTCTATCTGGCAGATGAAATCTACCTTATAGATCAGGTCTACCTGTTGAATTACATTTACTAATTTTATGGATGAATTCCACTTCAAGAGAACAGATATGCCTCTCTCAATTCATCATTTTAATCATTTCTCAGTCACCATATTGCTTCTGCAAATGTTACATCACACAATAAATCAACACACACACGTACACAAAACACAAACACCCATGTCGTTATATATTTATTTGATACGCCAAGCTAGACTTGACGGGTAGTGTCTTAAATTTTGTAAAAGCACTGTGCTTTAGCCGTAAACCAAAAATCATGAGAAGATCTATTTT